CCACGCACACACGCACGCACACACGCACACACACACACGCCCACCCACCACCACCACCTCGCCCCATCCACGTCGCGCCGTCTACGTTGTAGGTCGGGCGCGCCAAAGCACGGCGCAGCTTAGTTTGAGCATCGTGTGGTTGCACGACTACACACGTCTTAGTTCAGCATTCTTTCTTGGCGTCACATAGCTCACCCATGTCGCTTGCCAGAGCATCTCGTCCGTCGCCGTTTGGCTCACGAGCATGCTGGCTTGCGCCGCCACGAGCCCGAAGGCTGACCCACGTCGCGGCTCGGTGGCCGACGCACTCAAGCCGAATGGCTAGTCCAAGTGGCACTTGCAGCTCAATCGTAGAGGAGATCACTAGCGTGAAAGCCTTCTTCACGGCTCGCGGTGGTCTCAACAACAGTTCAGACGCCGTGCCCCAGAAGAGTTGTGCCGACACTCTGATCAGCATGCTGAATAACACCAAATGCTTCGGGCCAGCCGATGCCACCCAGCTCGTCGACGCTTTGATGGGTGAGCCGTACGGCGCATATCGCACCAAACGAATCATGTCTACGATCGACGCCAAGGTCGCCGAGAGCAGCGGCTCCATCAAGCCCGAGGGCTCTAACAACAAGCAGTTGCTTAAGGAGTGGTGGTCGTACTTAACTAAATCGGATTGGGAAGTGATCAATGACCCCAAGATTTCGCTGAACCGCAAGATGACGACAATGGTCGAACGCGGCGTAGCGGTGGGTTGTATTGAGCCTTCTGAGCAGACGTACAAGTGGGCTTTAGCAACGCTGCTTGTCACGCATTACGACACCCCACCCGAGCCGAAGAATGTGCACAGCACGTTGATGGACTTGAAAACATCGTTCAAACCAGAGAAACAGGATTTCGGCTTTACTCGCATCATGGATTACCCAGATTCGCCATTCGAGCTCCCGCCCGACACCTTCCAGGCCGCCTACCCTGGCGATGAGCAGCCAAGCAAGATTGAGTTCGAGGGCATACATGCAGTCGCTGACAAGATCTCGCTGCGCTCCACCAGAGGCCTGCTGAAAGCATGTATTGACCCAGATGCTAGAGTAAATATTAAAGAAGCAAAGGAATAGCTTGGTTGCGCCCGCAGCCAAGACACACCAGCGCCCGCAGCCGACGCACATGTGGCATCACCAGCAGGGGCGATCGTTCCACCACCGAACGACCCGTACGATATGGGTTTGTTTTACGAGTGCCAGCAAACATTGCTTGAGCACCGCAAAGAAATAAGCCAAGCGGCTGCGCAGGGCCTTGCTGCGCCCCGCATAAGATCCGGGCAGCAAGCAGCTTGGCTATCCACCGCGCCGCTGATGGGGCGCTAAAGGTGCAACCAGCCGTCAAACATGAGCCACGTGTCAAGCATGAGCCAGAAGCGAAGCGTGAGGAGCAAGACGCTGAGGAGCAAGACGCTGACAAGGGTGAGCGCGGCACCGCCGATGATGACGACGGGCCGCGTGAAGAGGACTTGGACCCCCACGCCCGCGCTGCGATCTTTGCCCTCGAGAAGCAGAAGGCCAAGACGCAGGAAGAAACGAAGGCGACAACCTTAGCTAAGAAAGAAGCTGCTGACGCCGCAAAGGAAACCGCGACACTGGAGGTCAAGGCTGAGGCGCCACCACGGACACGCCCAGCAGCAGCCGCTGCTGCCGCCAAGCACGCGAATGCTGCGAAGGTCGAGCCTGCCGGGGCTGCAAAGGGTGGGGGGTAAGTCCAAGGATGCCGACTTGAAGCCGATCCCGAAGTCTAAAATCATGGGCGCTATGCCGTCGTTGCCAAAGGATGGTTCGACCCCCCCCGCCAGTGGTCTACAAGCAGGGAATCATCTACACAAGCGTCAAGGTCAGGCGCGTCCGTGCCCTCAGGAAGCGTGGCGATGCATGACGCTTAGCGCATCACCGCCAGCCATCGCACCCCTTCGTCTGGATTGGTTGCGAGCATGTTGGCGCGCCGATGCCCACCCGCCCCGAAAAGTTTGATTCAGTTAACAACGGCGATGCGTTCGGCGCCTTGGGTACGTCGGGCCAGGTTACCTTCGCCCAACCATGTTGTGACGCCGTTGCTGGTCTTATTAGGAGGTGTGTGTGTATGTGTGTGTGTGTGTGTGTGTGCGTGTGTGTGTGTGTGTGTGCGTGTGTGTGTGTGTGTGTGTGTGTGTGTGTGTGGGGGGGGGGGGGGGGGGGGGGGCGGTATGTTATAGCTCCTCCGCGTGAACTCTTGGTGTAGATTTGGCAGGTTTGTTTTGCGATCGCGTTGCCCGATGGCCGCGGCGTAAACCTCCTGGGCCACCCACTCAACAGCCACCCCCCCGCCTCCCCCCCGCGCCCTCCTCTAAACCGTCGGCCCCGCTCCGCGCGAGCGAAGTCCTCGGGCGCCACTGTGTCCAATCAGCCCCCCCCCCCCCCCCCGCGCCCAATCGCAGGCAACTGTGTCCAATCAGTCCAATATGTCCAACCAGTCCCCCTCGAAGGCCGCTGTGTCCAATCAGTCCAATCAGTCCGCCCTCCCCTCTTGCCCTTCACCGCTGCCTGTGCGTTCCACGCCTTCACCTCGTTCGTCTTGGGATCGGGTCGTCGATTGGCAATGATGGTCATGGGCGGGCGGGCGGATGGTGTGTAGGTAACAAGAGCAGAATGTCACATCATACGCCTAAAGCCTCGCGTGGGCTGGTCGGGCCACTACTCCGAGGGCTCCAGAGCTTGGGGGGGGGGGGGGGGGGAAGGGGCTAAGCCGACCTCTGAGGCGCGGGCTGCAGCAGTGATGGCGATCGACGACGCCCAGGCTAAGTCATGAGACGCGCATGGTGCCCCTATCATATAACCAGGCTTTTCGCCGAACATACAAGCACTCCGTGGTGCGTCGCTTAACGCACCTGGCTGTCGAGAACGAGTCGCGAGGCATGTCTCAAGAAAAAAAGCATGCATGCTCGTCGCGTCGTCAGTCGTGCACCCTTGTTATGAAGCAATTGCTTGCGTTCCGTCCGTAGCCCTTTTCTCTCAGCATGCAGTCGGGCCGCTCAGCGTTTGGGGCCGTTTCGGATGGGGCCGACGCGGGCCGCTAAGCTGCGCAGGCTGAATGAGTTCCGCCGTACCAAGCCTCACGGTACAGCTTCTGCCTTGGCTGCAATTCTGGAGGACGCGACAATGGGATCCCAGTGGTCATAGATCGGTAGTCCATGCGGGTCGCGAGAGATGTGGTTACCACAGTTGTCGGCGAATACGGCCCCATCTTGCAATCCTTCACGTGTGTTAATGCAGAGGACGAGCCAACTAGCATACCCATCGCCTGCCCGTTCGCACCCTTAGCGGCAGCTGTCGAAGAGAGCGCGCCATTTCGGAAGTTCTTGAAGCGCCAGCTGATGTTTCACCCGCCGACACCAACTTGATTTTGCATTCCGACGAACTTACCCCAGGGAGCCCCTGATCACCAGCGAACCAAATAACGTCCCAAACTATATATTGGAGCTTCTTGGAATTTGGCGTGAGCGCGCTCAGTCACGAAGAGGGCTGGTTTGTGCTGATGACTGAGTTCTCCAAATATGGTTTGTTTCTTTTTCTGCTGGGTTAAGCCAAGCATTCGCTGAGGCTATCAAATGCTTTTTCAAGCCTGATGTCTTTCATTTCAAAGACGGTGGCATGGCCCTTGACTTAGACGGGGATAGCTCCAGGCTGCTTGCTAAAGTGGGCGCGGCGTTGCAAGGCGGCGGCGCCCTTAAAACTGTCCGACAAGCAAGGGTCGACAGCGCGTCCAAGTTCTGTCTGCTTTGCAAGAGCATAGTCGCACCTGATTCCAGGGTTGTGGACGGGGACGGTTCAGCAATGTTGCGCTGCAGCGAAATACATCTCGATGAACTCGCGGCGCCCACGGACCATGGGCTGCGCGCGAACGCGATGCATCTGGAACGCATGTCGCTGACTTTGTCCAATGCTGACTTTGTGTTGTTGCAGCAAGCTTTGGGCGTGCCGTTTGCTAAGCGGGGCTTGCTGCTCGATAGAGCGTTGGGCAGGCTGGCCAACCCAACAGGGGTGTTTATGCATGACTATATGCACGCGCTCTTCGTCGACGGTGTCGTGAATCTTGTGATTTACCTTACGTTCGAAGCCTTCATATCTGCTCGGCTTAGCGGCGCGTGGGAGTCATTCTCGGAGTTATTGGCGAATCGGGCGTTTCCTGGGCGATTTCACGTCACACATTTAGATAGCATATTTAATGCTGATCGGAAAGACAAACACAGAAAGGCACAACGTGTAAAATGCCAAGCATCTGATTTATTGTCTTATCTTTGGCGTGCTGATGTTGCTCAGCCAGGCGGTCCTGCGACCCATGGGGGGCAGCCAACGCAGCTTGCGACGCTATGATTGCTTGCGTTCAGCTGTCGGAGCTGGCAGTTGCAACCAGTCGGATCGACGTGGGCCCAGCGAGGCTTTTGGGTTGCGTTCACAATTTCTTGTGACCATTTGCTGCTGCTCTCGGGTCTGAGTGCTTGACGCCCAAATGCCACTGGCTTCTCCGCCTCCCTGGTATGCTCGAGCAAAACGGGCGGCTCTTAACTTGCTTTGTCCTTGAGGGGAAGCATGGGATGCCAAAAAGATACGCCGCCGAATTGGCGACCATCCCTGGGCCAGCCAGCAAGCCGCTGCTGAGCGAGTGCGTTGCCCACCACCTTTCTGTAGTAAAACGCCGCAGCTTTGATTGCGATGTCGGCTTGGTGCAGGGGCGCAAAGCCCCAGAGAAAAGCAGACAGCTGATAATGGACGCATTGGGGCTGGAAGGCGACGATATCCCAGTCAACGTGGGCAAATATTCTCGCTTCAGCCAGCTCGGCTTATGCACTCAGGGGGGCGCTGTGCTTCTAAATGGCCCCGATGGCATACTGGCCGCCCGCGTGAAATTGCACGCCGAGGTCAGTGGAGAAGCTGTTTCTGTGATGGGGGCCATGGAGCTGTCTCAACGCATCCGTGGCATTGCAAAGGCAGCGTGGAAACTGTCTGAGTCTCCAGTGCAATGCTGGGAGACTAAAGCCATCTTGGCTGCAGTAGAGCACTGCGTATACGCAGACGGCACCGTCGGCACCATTCGGCCATTAGAGTTTTCATGCTGGGATTTGGTGACGCGTTGCGCTAAGAGAAAAAAACATTCGCATACGCTGCGCGCGCCGCCGCACAGCCCATCCAGAACCGATGCCTCGGCGAACGCGCACGTTTAAGCCATTGCGGCTGAAGGCAACGAACAGGAGGAGGAGGATGAAAAATGAGGAGGGAAGGTATGCCTGCTCCGCTTCTCCTCCTCTTCATCCTCCTGCTTCTCCTTCTCTTTGTCCTGCTCCTGCTGCTCCTCCCCCTCCTCCTGCCCCTCCTCTTGCTCCTGCTCCTCCTCCTCCTCCTCCTCCTCCTCCTCCTCCTCCTCCCCCCCCTCCTCCTCCTCCCTCCTTGCGTCTACAGCGATCAAAGACATGCCGAAATCGAGGCCGAAGGCGGCATGGGGCGGCGGCGCCGCGCCGAAGGCGTCGAAAACTGAAGTTCAGCTCATATCAGGTGGTGCAACCAATGTTGCGACACATCTGTGGTGCAACCTGTGTGGTTCATCCTTGTGGTGCAACTTACGTGGGTAAACCTATGTGATGCAACCTGTGTGGTGCAACCTGTGTGGGGGAACCTACGTGGTGCAACCTGTGCAGCGCAACCTATGTGGCGCATCCTATGTGGTGCAACCTATGGCACATCGATGCCTATGTGGCGCGGTGCAACCTATGTTGTGCAACCTACGTTGTGCAGGAGAAGGAGGGATAAGTAAGGAAAACAGTAGTTTCATAGTTTGCATATCTCGACTGCTAAACGTTTATAAAGTTTATAGGTCCGTGGTTGATAAACGTATAATAAACTTTTTAAGTGTGCTAAACTTTAGCAAAACCTCTTAAGCCGTAACAAACCCAGGATGCATCTCAGTATGGGGCCACGAAGCGCTGTACTGGGTGGGTGAAACGCAGGGAGGAGGGGGAGGAGGGCCACGAAACG